GACATACGGACCACTTTTTGCCAAATGACTTTGTCTTCTTTGAAAAACGGCCGGGTTTTTAATGAAGATATGAGCAAACGATTTTCTGGAGGTGTTTGGATTCTTGATTCTTGTTGATGAGGGATCCATGAATGGGCAAACGGCCAAAGACATGAGCAACAGGTTTTGGGGGTTCATTAGTAGTTTAGCTTAGGGAAGAGGAGGACATGTGAATTGGCAAGAGGGCCACACAATGAGGGATTTGTGCAATGAGCGGTTTAAACGATGTTTTGAACAGAGACAAATCAGGAGACAGATGTATCAAACTGTTTGGGATGTTCTGGATTTGCACTAAGAGGTATTTCTTTGCGGTTTGGGGCGGTTTTCCCAGCCAAAACAAAGAGGACTCGTGACTCGTTCATCACAGGAGCAAACGATCCGAAGTGATTCGTGGAAACGAACATGACATGACTGACAGGAGCGAGGACGAAACGCGACGAATGGAGCAACATTTCCAGAACACTTAGTGTCTTCTCCTAAGCTACTAGGAACAAGTGCATCGCTACTAGGAGCAAGGGCCTTACTAGTAGTAACAAGAAGCTAGTAGAAACAATAAAGCTCATCTTCTCAGACAACTGTTTTCAGGTACGTCGAAAGCTCACTAGTGCCTCTCTCCGTCAAGGTGGATTCCGGATCGCGAAAGCAGTTTCGGAGATCGTGGGACTCGCCGGGGTTTCGCTGCCGTTTCGTCGTTTCAAGGACCCTTTCGTTCAGTTCACCCAAGTGAATCCGGGGCAACTCATTTCTATAGATTACACATGTTCACACCCATTTTTTCCTGAGTATTGCTTCACGGATGCATTGTTTCAATGCTGAAGAGATCACCATTTTTAGTGCTTTCTGACATTTGGTGAAGCTTATCTGATGGTTTGTGTGTCTGTGTGATAAAAAAAGACAGGGGATCGATTGCCCAACCGCCCAAAAAGGATTGTTGAGCCGAGAGTACTTCACTCATCACAGCCCAGGCGTAGCATCGGTTTATATAAATCGCTTTAGGCAGGTTTATGACAGATTTGCACCCGGATGGCGATGCACAGCTTTGAACGGGCGCCGACCTTCGCACCGGACCGGACCACGAGTTCGGACTCGGTCCGACTCTTCGGCCGCGGCTCAGGTGGTGCTGGCGCTGGGCGACGAGGTCGGAGAGCAGCTTGGCAGGTGGTGATCCGTCGTCCAGAACGGCGGCAACACCGGCGCCGGCTTGTGTTTTGGTTGGAGCTGGGTTGGAAGAGGCGGGGTAGCCGCCTGGAGGTGATCTTAACGCCCAAATCCAGACGTGTAAAACTGTAAAACCTCTGGAAGAAAACAACCTTTGGCACAAGACCTTTAATTGTTCCAATCCTTTTCAGACAGGTTCGGTTCTGTCCTTGTTTTATCTTGTTTTGAGAACATGCAAATCGTCGTTTTGTTACGGTTCTTCACTCAGGCATCGGAGCTCGCCGTTTCGCCCGAAAGACTTCAACATTTGCTCAACCAAAACTTCGAAATCACCAAGGAAGCCCAGAAAGCCTTGCACCAATGAAAAGGATACCATGTGCCAGGCCCAGAGGTTTTTCACACCAAGGCCACCAGTCGTTTGCATCATGTGCATATTTTTTACCATAATGTTCTATTTTTTGGTGGTCAGATACTTTATCCACCAAGCAGAAGCTGGACTGGCTTGCTGCCGCTTTGCCGGACCCGGTTGAAAAATCGGAGCCATGTTCGAAAAGACTGCAGGGTTCCGTTCATGACGCTCTCAGGGACTTGGTTCCCTTGCTTCAAGCCTTCCTCGCCCAGATCGAAGCCATCAGGCCGTGGCGGAACGAGACATGCATCGACGGCGGAACGATGGTCTCACCATCCGGTTTTGGTGCTCTGTGGACGGCAGTGAAACCCGCACGGTAAGCCTCGGACCCCCATCGTCGGATAAGAAGAAAGACCAAGTCGGTGGAGCCGATCTCCAAAAAAACCAATGGGTGACCGTGCCATGGACCAAAAGGTCAAGTATACGTATACAGTATCTACCTGTGGACCTTCAAAAATTAGGTGCGTTCTTTTTGTTTGAACGATTGGGAGTTCTTTCACTCTACTATCTTCCCTCAAATGGCTTCGGAACAATTCCGGATCTCCGCAGCGGAATCCTTCGGCGCATCGAAGTAGTCTTGTTTGTCTTCTCAGACATTCTCATGGTACGGGGTACCTGTTGAGTAGAACCACTGAATCTACCAGAATTGTGACTCAATTGATTCTCACTCATTCACACTGCTTTGCTACCCACTGAAGCTCATCGGATCATCGTGTCCTTTAAGCACCGCAGTGATGTGACAGTCGTTGCCTCAACTGATGCAAGGCTCATTACCTGTGGGGGCTCTCAGACGTTCTGCGCAGGCAGCAGCGATACACTCCATGAATGTTATAGTTATATAGACCATCCATGGGACTGGCATATTTACCTACATTGGGGTGGTTTCAGGGGTCAATGTATGTAAATATATGCCATGCATGTATGGTTTGGGAAAGGAAGATCGAGGAACCGCACTATAATTATAGAGAACCTGATTTGACGGAAGTAGAGCCCCACGCCGGATGTTGCCGGCCTTCTTAGTTGTTTTCAACCCGCATCGTCCTTGCAGCCCCGCAAAGAGAGGAAGGCTCGACGATCTCAGCCCAGTTTGGCTGGTGTTTCGGAAAATCTAGAAGCACTGCTCCTTCCAAATGGCCATATATGGGATGACCATCATTCCCGTGTGGTGGTCGATGGCATTGAGCATGGGGGTTGGTCACGCAGAAAGAACTGCCAGCCGAAAGTGTGCTGAAACCTTTGGATCAGGCCAAGGGCAAGGTATTTTTCAGAATGTTTTATTAAAGACGTCTCAGTCTCGCCAGATAGTTTGCTTGACTCCCAATTGCCATGCCTGCCAAGGAATAAATGCATCTTCGAATTCTACTCTGCAAAGAGTTCCCCTTCGGAATTCCCAACAAAGAATCACCCCATTGGTGAAGATGTTTTACCATGTTTGACATCCTCGACGTCCTCACCGAACCTCGCCTACCGGATGCACTGAGGCACCGGACGATTCCAAGCCTGCTACCGGAGCCCCAGCGCCAGCGAGGTGCCGGGGATGCGCAAGAAGTAGCCGCGCGGCCGCGGTTGTGTTTGAAGGCCGAGGTCTGACATATCAAGAGGATTCATATGCTTTATCAGGGCTGTTCTAGCATTTTGTTTGTTTCGAGTCATGATGTTTTTTTATAGTAAGCAAGGCCACAAACCGGTTCAGTGTATCATGTTAGTCAGTACAGGGTCCGTTGGGACCAATGTCGGGGCAGCTATATATTGTGGTCATGTGCTTCAGAGTGTTTGAGGCAAAACAATTGAATTTGCCAAGCCCCACAACATGAACTGAAATTGGGTGCACTGAACGTTTTTGTAAGACAGAGTAAGACGGTCAGCATTTAGGTTTCCTTGCCTCCAGACATCAACAGCATCACCAGGATCTTACATCACCTCAACCTGAGCTGCTGGACGGATTGCGGTTTATACGGATTGCCGATGGCGGATTCCAACATATGCGAAGAGGTCGCAAGGCTCAAGGGAATCAATTAGCTACAGACCAGTTGTGTTTTCTCCTTGATGGACAGATAGGCAACCTCCAAAGAGCCTGCTGCAGCCGGGAACATGCACATTCACATTATATGACTTATGAGAATGTTTGTGCCGAATCTCCAGAGTCAATTTGCATTTACAAAGCCACCGCGGATTGCCGGGGAAACCCAGGATTAGACGGATTACGGTCCTCATTTTGACCAGGCCAGTCAACTCTGTGGACTTTTAGAGCTGGTTCCTGGATCGAGGGCAGTGCTTAGCAGTGCTTGCGAATGTTACAAGCGATGGGTTCAGAACCGTCGACGGCATGATGACACTAAGTTCACAACCTGCCCCTTTTTTGTGCCGTTTAACAATCAAAACCAGGGGTATCTTTGAAGAACGGCCATTTCTGGCTGCAACACTTAGTCAGAGTGAGGAAGGCGGGAAGGCGCCTCCATGTTTGTGAGTGAGGTTCCTCTCACCCGTGTTTGTCTATGGGTCACCTTTTTTGGGGGCGGATGAGCTCGGGGCGTATCATTAGGGTATACGGAGCGGTGGAGCCCAACGAAGCAAAAGCGACAGAAAGGGCTGGGCCGATTTTGGAAGAAACAGATCGTTCGGAACTGCAGCTGGTCTATGCTGGTCGTTGCTGGTGCCCATTCTAGAAACATGTCGAAACTCAAGGATCTACCATGATCTACCATGACATGATCTACGTACCTCGTTTTTGTTTTTTATGTATCTCTTTTTTGCCGACTTCTTAAGGTGCTGGGAGAGCTTTGTGGGTACCTCGATGGTCTTCAAGGCGTGGATGAGCGGCGTGGCCGGCGGCGTGGCCAGCGGGTTCGGGGATTTTGGGATTATGAATCGCCTGAAAACAGATTTTGGTGAGTGACCCCACTGATGTTGCGCGGTGGCTTGGAGACAGTGCCCAGGTTACCAGGTGTTTTCTTTTTCATGTAGCGGAATTGATCCATTTTCTTCGAACATTTACACGAAGTGCAGACGCTGATTGCTCGGTAGGTATATATAAATCAAGTCATTCAAACATGGCTCAACCACTCCAAACGACTCTAAACGACTCTACATGGGTAAACCATGCTAAAGCTCAAAAAAGGACTTTGCTCAAGCTGGGCCTGTTCTGTTCTTGATCTTTTGATCTTTTCTCACCTGGTGACACACGACGTAATGAGAAGAGTGGGACCCAGCTCCACGTCAAACCCAGCTTTTTTCTCACCTGTCGACCTGGCGTAACCGGCAAGTCGGGTAGACCGGCTCGACCCTTCAGCCGCCTTCAGCTGCTGTTCCAAAAGTGTCCAGAGGAGTCACGTCCGAAGACACCAACGCATCGTTCGACTGACCGTGGTTCGACTGCACATTCGGTGACGCAGACCCGTCGAGGTTGACGGCAGATGTCTTCTCCCGTTTGGAAGGTCTTTAGCACGGCAAAGGTGTCGATCTGTTGATGTTTTGAGTCTCCCAGATCACCCGGTCGTCACTGCCGCCCTCCCGGGACGAGCGCGGGCGTTGAAGCGGTGGAAGCGAGAGGATCCCTAAATCTTGGCTGGGAGGAGAATTTGTGTGAGGCCTGGAGTGGGGATGAGCGATTGGGGTGTGGAGAAGGATTGAAGTCTTTGTGTTTTGCACCGTCGCGTTGTACATGAGGGGTTGAATATATACTTATAGAATCCGTCGCGTGATACTGACGACCAACGCATCTGAAATGTAGCCGTTCAATACAGCTGTTAGATTGGGTAGTCCTTTCGTTTCAAAAGGACTTTGGATGACTTTGGCACTTCTGGATACCACTGGAACAACTTATCAGGTAGATCCAGCTGATTCAGCAAGTCGTAAACCCTTCAACTCCGGTCGGAACCATCAGACCACTACGGTCCACCCATTCGGGTACGCTCCGTTGCACCGGACGGGACGGTGGACCAGCGGCAAGACCAGCAACCCACGGGGTTTGGTACCAAGTCCGCTTCATCTTTTGCTGAGAAACACGCCAACCATGGACTCTGCAGGAACTCAAGACATCTCTAGACCAAGCAACATCAAAAACAGGAACGACGCCAGAGACGTGGAGGCTCGGGAAAAATCGCCAGGAGCTCTTCTTGAAGGGTGATGGGCAGGCGGTTTTGAGAGGTATCTCCATGCCGCTGCAGAGGTGCCGATGGGAAGGTGGGCAATGTGTGGGTGGCCGCACCCAGTAGATCAATACAGAAGTTGAAAACACAAGTGTTGTAGAGGACAATATGTGTGTGTTTTTTTCTGGTATTTTCTGGAGGCAAGCCTAGGGATAGCTTGGACTGGAGCCTTTTTTTCTGCATCGTGGTGTATTTGGACGACCTTTTCACCATCTAATCTACTCCCTTCCAAGCACTGTAAAGACTTTGCTCCAACAACATCAAAGCATCCAAGTGTATTTGTTCAAAACTAATGACCATTGCCAGCCACTTGGTCTCCTTGTCCAAACTTACTCCTGAGTCTCAGCCTAGTCCACGTCGACAGCTGGGGAGTCTTCTGGGATGGTATCACATGTTGGAGTGTAGCGCTTTTGGATTCTAAACAAAGATTGGAAGTGGGTGGCATGGCTGGCACATTAACCACTCAAAGTGAAGAATGAAGAGGGCCAACAAATCAATGTTGGACATCTTTCCAAGTGATCCTTTCCTTACTGACTCTAATCACCTGCGCCAGACTGGTAGAGCTGGCGTTGCCTGCTGCAGCACCACCTGAAGTGGGAAACTACGGTGCGGGCGCCCAAAAACGTGCCGAAAACGGCCGGGCCAAGGTGGTTGAGTTACGTGTTCATCCCCCAAACGCGTGAGAAATTCCATGTACACTTGCGCGATTTCAATCGTGCGGATTTCCATGGTCATGGCACCGATGGTTTGGCGTGCGGATTTCCGTCATCCGAACCGGGGCCATGCCATCCACTTCCAGCCGGCAGACGACCCACCGGTCGATCCCCTCTTCACACGCAACAACCGCGCACAGAAGGGGGCGCCCCCCTGGACAGAGCGGCGTGTTGTTTTTTTCTTTTCGCAGATTCAGTTCATGGATGTGTTTTGTGCTCTTCGCCAAATAATGATACTGATGCTACTAGTGGAATTCACCCTCTCACCAGTCGCCGCTCACTTATAACTATTCCTGACGCTTCGCGTCGACCGCCGCCCACACCTTCTTGTTTTTTGGTCGTCTGGGGAAAGACTGCTGGAGTGGACAGGGGAGGTCGGGAGTGGCGTCCAAAGAGATGGCTTGTTTGCCGCAGCGTCTATGGCCATGTTGCGGCTGAGTTACGCACAAGTTCGCTCGTTTGGTGGCCATGTTAAAGCCAATTCAGGCTCCAAGTTCGACCGTTTTGTGGCCTTGCCCCCGCTTGGTTAGTCCACATTACATCATGTCAAGGCTAGCTTGATCGTTTGGTGGCCCTGTGTTGAGGCTACGTGTTTTTTTGCAAATAATGCTGGTTATGCGTTGCTGGTCAGGACGATTTTTCAGCATCGTTGGTGTCCGTTTTTTTTGCTTGTTTGGGTTCTTGAAGAAATAGTCCCAAAATGTACCTCCAATAATGCTGTTTATGCGTTGCTGGTCAGGAGGGTTTTTCAGCATCGTGGGTGTTCGTTTTTTGGCTTGTTTGGGTTCTTGCAGAAATAGTCCAAAAATGCACCTCCAAAACGCTCTCCCCCATGGCCCTCGAGGCGTAAGACGTTTTCCCGAAACAAAAAAAAGCACCCTGCCCCCCCCAAGCAGAGCTATGAACTGATTACGATGTGATGATTGACTGACGATGATTCCAGCTTGACCCGCCCCGAACACGCCCTGCACCGCAAGCGGTGTGGGCGGATTTTTGCCCTTCAAAGTACCAGAGTATGACACATCATACCATACCAAAGAAACAGGTACTGGTAACCACTTTGAAAGATGCAAAGACTCTAGTTAGTCAGCAGTCCTTTGATGGGAATGAAGTGTTCAGGTTTCCCCTCGAATCCTTGAGAGAAAAGAGAACTCACTTGCTCAAAAAGTCGCTTCTTGTTGCACAACTCAGAATGGACAAATTGAACATATCACAAATGATTGCAACGAGATGTCTGCTATATATTTGGCTTGGAACCACTAGGAGGGTGGGAGCAGCACACTGGAAGGCCGGAGGAGTGTGAATTGGTCATGTGAACTCAGAGAAATAGGGTGTGCAAAAAATTCATCAGAATTCCCATCCCCCACTGGATGGGATTTCTATGGGATTTCTTCGGAAAACTGCAGACTAACTATGTCCCGTCTTGAGACGGTCAGAAACACCCTTCAAACTCATTCAATTCACCCCGATCTCCAGATGTGGATTGTCCAGTTGTGGACGTGAAACCGAAGCCATTTCGATCCCGCCATGATGTGATCCCGTTGGGCCCCGTTTTTTTTCTCGTTGGAACAGGACATGTGAAGCCCATTGCCAAACCACTCCTCCTCGCCGACGCCACTGACACCACTGCAACACCCAGGGAGTCGCTTCCACTTCGAGTACTTCTTCGCCAAGAGGGCCGAGGTGCATGGCGCTGCTGGTGATCCGACTGGGGGCGGGGTATGCCCATGTAGTCATGCCTGACAGTGGCTTGGTTTGGGGAAGATGAGAGAAAGAAGTAAACAGAATTCCCACTCCCAGAATTCATCTTCCCTCCCCAAACAGGGGGTTTAGATGGGTTTAGGGGATTCCCAACACTTCATGTATTGAGAATTCCCGTCGCCACCGCGGCATGTCCACGGGTCCCATGCGCGTCGGTCGACCCAGTGAAGGTGTGAGTCGTGCAGGCGCAGATCCAGGTGTCCAACGCTTGGTGGCGGATGGTCGCGGTGTGGTGTTGTTGTTTCAATGGAGTCACCAGCGTTGGTTTTTGTGGGGGGGGCACAACTTAAGTTGCTTCACATCACTCATTCCATGACTATGCAGTTTGGTGTACCACAGCCGGTATATGTTCCGATGATGCCCAACACACACAGACAGTGCTCCAATTTCATTGTGGATGATTGCCTTAAAAGACCACATGATTAGCAAAACGCACGAACCTCAGCTGTGTTGAGCAGTGTTTGAACATTTCTCAGTTCCAGGCATGTTATCCCTTGAAGTCGGTCCAATCTCAAATGGATCGAAGGCCGTGACACATCGTGAAACCAATCCAACCATGATAAATTCGATTCCGACATCCACACCTCTGGCAGGTGCAATCACACCAGAGAGGCGTCCGAGATCGTCTCACGTGCGCTGGACCATTGGTCGTGGTGGAACTGGTTTGTGTGCAGGGGGGCCGTTTTGGGCGCGGGCCGTTTTGGAGGGTTGTTGCGGCTTGGGTGGTTTCAGATTTCAGCTCATCGCGAGACATCAGTCATCATCGGTTTGCGGATGGTTTTTGGGATTGTGCTTCTTTGACTACTTTGTTTTAAAACACCCCGATGGACTAGCAAACGGAGAGCAGCGCCAATGGGAAGACCCGGGGTTTTGGACATCCATGGAAGGTGAGTCGAGCATAAGCTTAGGAAATGGTCCGCTATAGTAGATCAAATGTCATTCGTCCCGATTGTGCACATTGTATGGATTTGTGGTTGTGCAAGCTAAGAAGGTGGCTACAATTAGGCTTGTTTGTAGGTGCCTTCAAGCAGATGGAATCATGTCAGGTTAACATTTCCGTATTAATTTATATAGCCATATGCTGTGTCCATTTGTGCCTCGAGCCTGCAGGCTATCAGAGCTCTTCATGGAAGTGACCTTGCAGAAAACAATTCCACCAACTGCATGTAGTCAGTATAGTCCTTGAAGATGTTGTCTCACACTTGTTTGGGTATTTGGGTTTGGATTGGAACCCCGTCAGAAGCATGTAATGTAGACTCTTTTAAACAATAAAACAGCCCATGTGATGTGGGTCCACATGGTTTTACAATCCAAATGGAGTGGTTTTAGTAAATTCAATATATTGTATAATAAATATGGTTACTAGTACCTCTTTTGCGTGGGAGCCCGGGGCATGGGCTTTTGTCGCACTGGCCCGGGCGATTCTTCCGCTCTCCGGCCAGGTACCCTCCCATTTTCAGCCCCGGAGGGATTTGTTCCTTCGAGGACGTGATCGAAAATTGATGAAGCGAATGGCGGCGAATGTAGGTAGGTCAACACGATGTCCAATGCCTGTATAGGTCCAACGGTCCAAGGATCATACGTTTACGCTTCTCGAATCCATATGTTATATGAGGCTTGGCAGATTCAGCTCCTTTCTGCAGCGATCCCGGTGTCAACGTGTGAACCAGGGACCTGTCTAGCCTCGCGGCCGGCCGCGCTCTTCCGGGCGGGCAAGTTGTAGCGAGCGCCACCTGAGCGTCCGTCCGTCAGGAGAGTGGATTCACCACACAACGCTGGGGGCCGAATGCTTGGGCGACTCAGAGTCCGGACGCGCGAGACGGGAGGACGTGCCAGCCGAGACGGAGCGGCGGTGTCGGACGGGGTTCACTTGTTATGAAGTAGTAACAAGTGCCACGCTAGTAGTAACAAGAAGCTACGAATTTAAAGTTAAAATTTAGTTTAATTCTAATAGCTTTTTGTTACTACTAGTAAGGCACTTGTTACTACTAGCGTGGCACTTGTTACTAGTAGTAACAAGAAGCTACTGCGTTCATGCTTTTGAGTTTTGAGTGCTTTCCCTACGACCCAGCTTCTTACAGCTACAGCATGACCATTGACAATACTTCAATGTAATAAATATGATTGAATCAGATTATTGAATCCATCAGACATCAAGCCTTTCAATCCGTGCTATGCAGTTTTTCTATACAAACTAGGCAGTGAGATGGCCTTGGAAGTGCTCTTCCAGAGGTTTCTGTTCAGTATGGAAGCAACCCAGGGGGTGTACAATCTCCGAATGGATCAACATGAGGTCATTTCCTAAAGTTTGGCGACCAATTGGTTTTTCACGCGACGGTTTTTTCCCAAATTCTTTGACCGTTCTGAAGAACCACAAGCAAACCACAAAAAACACAAACGCTATAGGGACAGAAAAGGACATGATATTTCTCTGTTTCAAGTCACTTGTTTCCCTTCGAAATAGAGTGAGATGTGCACCTAGAATATCGAGTATTTGACATGTCTCTATACAGTGGTTGGGCACGGTTCAGTCAGGTTCACTCTCTGGAGTTTTTTGTCTGGTGAGTGAGCAGCAAAACAATCCCAGCGTTTTAAAGGAGAGCACTCGAGAGAGGAGCTTGTTCATCCAACCCACAGCAAGAAATGATTTGGTTTTGTTTAGTTCCATGGAGTTTGATCACCATCCAGCATCACAAGCATCACAAGGTCGTATAAAGGATAGTTTCATCATCCAGTATAAGGGATGGGGTCCTTCTGCCGGGTGTGGTAGACCGTGGGTGTAGCTCAGAGCCGTGTGGCCCACACGGTCTTCTCAGGCCTCACGTGTCCTGGAGATGCTCTCGGGTCAGGTACGGCACCGGTGCAGACGGGTCAAAGAGAAGGGCACCGCATCGGTTGAATGCGTTGGACCAATTGTTTGCCAGGTGCATTTCGCAATTCATATGTTCATAAACAACCATATGTTTATAACTCATATGTAAAATGTCTGACAAAAATGTTCATAACGATCTGAATCAGTTTCATAAACAACATAGTTCAACAATAAAAGTGAGTTACAGTTCAGTAAAACGATATTTCTGGTCAGAGCCTGGCACAGAACATGTTTATCCTAGTGTGTTGATTTTGGTCTCAAACGGATGGGCGCACGCTACTTTTAATCTTCTTTGTCTCATTTGTTGAAATATGTTTCCAATATTTTCCAATCCTGAATTGAATCCTTTTGCAGGATCCAGGAAATTGTCGCCGTGACCACCCCAATTACACTTGAAACTTTCTACTTTCACCATGGAGAGACCTGTTGGAATCCTGCCGCGTATGCCGTGAGCTCAACTGCGTGCTGATGCGTCCTGTTGCCCTGCAAGAACCAAAGCCCCGAGAACCCTGGATTCTTGTGGGAACGCAGGAGCCGCTCACTGCCCCCACCGCCGTGAACGCAGGTGCCCTTGAGCCGCTTCGTGGTGAACTTCGGCGCGGCGGACGGGGAGTGCGGCTCGGAGGAGGCGTGTTTCACGCGGAGCGACTGCTTCAGAGCGGCATCCGCGGTGTGACCTATTCTGGGGGTGAAGGTGATGTCATTTAGTTTTTTTGGCGTATAATTACTATTTTCTCTGTGGTGGTTGCACAGCAGGATTCCAAACACCAGTGAGTTATCGGATGTTTGAGTTAACAGTGATGCAACTATATATTATGTTTGTCTTACTGTATGTGGCTAGTGCAGAGGAAACGCTTGTTCTCCACTACCCAGTGCTGGAGATGAGCCGCATCAGAGTAGTCGACGGCCAGACTTCGAGAGAGGGGTCTGAGACTTCGATAGGGCAATCGCTTCCGACGAAACATCCCTGAGAGGGCAGAGGTCAGTTCCATGGGAATACACAGATAGGTTCTGCACTCAGTGGTGTCCCAATTGGAAACTCCTCGTTCCCCGACTCCGACTCGCGGGTCCAAAAAAGTGAAGGCGATGCCAGGAGCCCCTAGTAGCTTCTTGTTCCTAGTAGCTTCTTGTTACTACTAGTAAGTCCCTTGCTCCTAGTAGCGATGCGCTTGTTCCTAGTAGCTTTGAAGGTTGCGTCGTGTAACCCAAAATATGCAAGGCAATGTCAAACGGCCTCCCCACAAGATCCCCAAACAAGTCGAATGCTCTGGTGCGCTGAGTTGTAGGATACGCGCTTGTAGGATACGCGTGCCTCCCGTGTTGTTAGGGGCTGGGGTACTGGTTTTCGAAGTGGCGGTGGCGTGTCAACATGCAAAATCATATACTGTACTGTTACTCTGGATGTGGCTCAAGAAATATATCACCCAGACATTTAAGACAATTGGACTAATCTAGTTGTCCTTCAGCCATGTTTAGATGTTATTGGATACTTGAGCCACAATCATGGTTCAAGAGGGAACCTAGGCAGTCAACACCTGCTACAACTGACTTCGTGAGGTGGATCCTCCGTAAAATACTACGTTACTACGTTACTATGGGCTTTTCTGAAGCATTCCAGCCATCCAAAAATCACCGCGCTCTTTCTGCCTAAAAAAGGAAGGACAGAAACAACACCCCTACGCTCTTTCACCGCAGTACCTCTCTGCGGTCCAGGACTGGAACGCTGACCCTGCCAATTGTTTGACGACGGCTGGCTGCTCGACCTGCACCGGTGGCACCGGAGTGGCTGCTCCGGTGGCCGGTCGAGCTGTTTGGACGTCTCGGGGACCGGACCGGACGAAGAGTCGGACCTCGACCAATCGGGAGTCGACTCTGGGTGTCCGAAATCAGTACTCTTTCAGGTTTGAAAGTAAACCACTGCAGTCCATGAATCATCCAGACATCTTGAGTCATGTTGCACTTGGCCGAAGACATGAACTCCCGAAGGCATGGTACACTTCATCGGTGAATGACGGGTCAAGGCACGGTCAATCGAAAGGCGAAGGTCACGAGTCGCAACTGGGGGGCGAAGGTGTCTTAGTCACAAGTCCTACCCAGGAAAAGTGGAGAACCTTCAACCCTTTTTTGGGGAATTGGTTTCTCCAGTATAAACAAGAACAGACAGAAACAGGTTTGCCTTACTACGAACGGAGCTTTTTCGGACGCTACGAATGGAGCAACACAGCAAACCGGGGTCGTTCTTCCGCTGCGTGCGTCCCCCCCCCACTGGCGGGAAAGTGGCCACGGCGCTTTAGGCTACTCTGCCTTGGTCGTTGAGGGAGATCAGAAGCTTCCTGGCAAGCGCGGACTGGGCAGTGGGCAGTGCTGGTCAATGGGAACTAGGCCACGGTGTCCGGTGTCCAATGTATTGGGTGTTTCACCCCGGGTTCGGGTTCTCCCCTTCATTGGTTTTCCCTTCACTTGGATTTTTGGAGCTCCGGCGAAAAAACGTGCTAATACCAGGTGAAGTCTCCATTCAGTTAATCGTTTGTTGGATGACACTGATTGTAGCAGGAGATTTTCAGCCTTGACCGGTCAACTAAATACATCCTGCACCACCTCTAGACCGAGTATTGAGAGTGGTGCAGGACTTTGCATAGCTCAACAGCAGCTTACCTTGAGCACTCGCCACCATTGCCCAAGCACCGGGTAGGTCATCTGGAGGACTGGGCTAGGAAGCTGAACCAACAGGACTTGGGTGATCCTAAGTCGGTCATAGCGGTGGCTAAGACCAATCGACTCACTTCATCCCCAGAAAGGGATTTAACAAACACCTTTTCTTGAACCTTTCTAATTGACCGCTCGCATTACGGCGAGTTGAGTACGGAGCTCCCCCCTTGACTTTGACGATGGAACTCTAAGTCAAAAGACCCTAGGCATATATATATAAATATATATATATATTACTATATATGTAAACAACATTAAATCATTAAACAACTACTTCGTCTACTTTTCCCCAGTCTACAGACCAGATTTTTGGATGGATGTTGACTGTTTATGGTGATCAAGAAAAAGCGGCCAGAACCGACACGGTTGGATGTTCTCAAGGTCGAGCGCTCGGTGTGGGTGACACACCTTCTCACTTGGCGCCATGCCACCGATGTGTTGCATAAGCACCCTCTTACGACCATCTATCAAGGTTTCCACAGCTCACTTGGCCATGTCTTGGTGACAACAACGAAAAACCACACGGTTTTTTCGCCACGTGAATGACCGACCTCCGCGACCGACGTTCCGCGTCCCGGACCTCCCCGACCTCGGTGAGGTTCTTCCCACAGCTCCGGCGGCGCTTCGGTCACCGTGAGGATGTGCATCTGGCGGGACGGGCGTGGCGTGGCAATCGGAGGTGGTGCGATGAAGGTGTCGGTGTTCCTGGAGGCCTCACAGGTTTGTACAATTTGCCCCGGGAAAATCTTGAAACATGAAGAATTGACCTTGGCACTTGGTTGCAAGATGTCTTTTTTCTCTACACTTGCTCTCACAATTGAGGGGTTGTGGGGTATCAGGGGTCCGCTAAAGGATGCTAAAGGCTAATTATGGTCGAGGGATGGATGGCAACTATCTTTTCTCTAACTGGAGCCTCTAGTTGATCAAGGACCAAATTGCATTTGAGGGGAAGTCCAGATGAGCATCAGGACCGCCATTCGAGGGTATGCAATTCGGTATCAACGTGGTCACAGCGTGCATGGACGACTATAAGATGAATGGGCTCTTCAGCAGTGGAACGGGAAACCAAATTGAATACGAGCTTGTTTGAATTCCAAATCGTAGAGTTTGGACGATCCGGTTCTGGTCCAAACTGTTTAGTTCTGATCTTCTGAACAGTTTGTCTCAGACTCAAATGTTGAGACTCGGTGAACCACAAGGCCTGCGTCTCGTAGCTTCTCGTTCAAGGGAGGCCTGTACATAGCGCGAGCAGCTGCTCGCAACCAATTCACTCCAGCTGTGTAGGAGGAAAGAACAGACAGGACGGAGATGTTTGTTCGATACAAGTTTCAAAGAGTGAGAGAAGAGACACAGAGAGAGAGAGAGATTACAGTATAGATATCAGTAGATGTTAAAGATACAAATGAACAGACGAACACATAAACAACGACAGATAAGGAGAGAGAGAGAGAGAGAGAGGAAGAAAGAAAGAAGGAAAGAAAGAAAGAAAGCCCTTGCAACCCCTGGCAAGACTCACGGATTCAGCACGAAAAGCTCTGAAATTCGATCGACTCATCGCCATGGAAGAAGCAGAAACCGTGGAGTGACTTGGCCATCCGAAACGGAAGACGGGAGAGTTGCATGGATTGTATGGCCACACCGAGTCAACACACATGAGCAACTGCCACAGCAACGACTCGTTGCTCAACTGAGCAACACGTCGTCCACTGACGGTTTCTACACATGTTCCGCGCAACGAGACTTCTCATGCTTCGACCGTCTCACCGCCGTTGAGACCGTGGCAGAGACGACCACCGTTGACGACCACCCTTCAGTGCAATGAGTTGTGCGCACGTTGAGAAACGGGCAAATGATTTGTGGGCGACATAGCTGCTTTTCTTTGGTGTTAGATGATGTTTGATTATGATTGTTTTTTTGTTTTTAGAGATGTGTTTTTGAAACAATCTCCTTCAACCTTCTCCAATGAAACCATCGTGTGTTGTTCCGACGTCGTGGAACGAGTGGAGCTCATGGAGCGACCGCGGAGCTCATGGCACCACAACACCTGCGGGAACGCTGGCGAGTCAGATTCTTCTTGTTTGAGAAGCCTTTTGCACTAAGAAGTGCTAAGGAGAAACTCTGTTTTATTGCAACCTCGCTTCTTTTTTTGGGCAAACCTGGTGGTCAGGTCCTCGAGCTACCAAATCTTGCAGCACCTCCACTTGCTAGTGTTAACTATTGTACTTGGAACCACACCTTGGATCTGCCATGCTCTTCCATGTTCTTCCTTCCCACCGTGGCCACAACCCCAACCATGCCGCATTCACCTTCCGCCGCCGCCTCCCACTCTCTGCCATTCCACCACCATCCACCATGGCCTACCCCTTCACCACGGGGAGCCTGAGGTACTGGGCTGGGAACCCATCGGTGGAGATCATCCACGGGCACATCAAGGTCTCCCGCGCCGCCGACACCGAGGCAGACCAAGGGCGTCGACCGTCGACGCCTCGGAGCTGTTTGAGTTCAAACTGCTCCGTGCCACTCCGATTTGGTCAAAATAGGTCAAAGCTCATTATGACTCTTTGATTTTTGCGCACAGTAATTAATGCAATTTACATGATTTTCGTTTATTAATCTTCCAACTCATATTCTGTAGATCCACCACTTGTTCATGTTTCTCCAGAGCCTGGGAGCTTAAAGCCATCCAGATGACTGGGATGTGTTGATGGGAGTTGCAGGTTCATGAGAGATCTTGATCACTCAAATCCCGAATCCAATTTGGAAACCGGTTTTTTCGTCTCTAAACCGACGTTTCTTTTAAAGACTCCAAGGACTCTCGCTGGGTGACTGGTCCGTCATGGTCTGTCTCCCACACGTTCACCCTGTGCGAACGACCCTCTTTGCGAGCGAACGCGTTGGACCAGGCTGCTGGAAGCAGCTCGGGCAAGCCAGAGGCATGCATGGTTTTGGCCAGCTCAGTGCCCTGTCATATGCCTCTCGACACTTCTCTACTTGGGAGGATTGATGGAAGCAATTCATGAAGTCCTTCAGAGCGAAAAACACCTCGACGGGGTCGCTGGGCCCATCGATTCTCCATTCGATCCATTCGTTCGAGTCAACGACGTGACCGACCCTTCGGTCAACGACGTGACCGACCCTTCGGTCAACGACGTGCTGTGAGGGAACCACCGGTCTGTCCCGTGCTCCGACTTACTTGAGGGTCGGTGACTGACGAGGCAAACCACACCGCAGACCAGCGCCACACTGTCCCAACCGACACTGAATATTGTTGTCTGAAGGGGGTGAAGGTCCGGTCCATGTGGATCTGGAAACAGCAAAGGACCTTGAGAGTACCTGCGAAATAAGGGGAACATGTGCCCAAGAAAAAGACATCTATCTTCAATGTGGAGAACAACGAGGTCTCCAAATTGAATTCCCCAAAAGGTTCACCGGGCCTTCTTTTTGGTGATCGGCTTTTACATGATTTTACCTCCAATGAGTTGGGCAGTTTGGTGAAGGATTCTTCAGCTCAGCTCATTCGGACGTGGGTCCTGAAGGATCCGGCCAAATCGCCAAGTATCCCAGATCCGAAGATGACAACTCTTTTGCACACCCCAACTGAGGCTCGAAATGCTCCTCGAGGTTGCTCTGACCCTGGTTGACTTAGCTAAGCTTCGTATACTTTATTTTATCTAAACTACAATATGTATATATATATATATGTATACTGGGTATATAGGTGTATATATATATATATATGCATATTAATATATATATATGTATAGGTCATCCAGGTTCTAGGTCTATATGTATATACCTATTACATAGGTCTTCCATCAACTGGAGACTCATCCATCCCACTACCCTCACCGAGGTCCGCCCCGGAGTTCTGCGACTTCCTCGGCGCCTTTGGACCCTCGACCCACCGGCGCTTCCGTCACTGCCGCGTGTTGCACGGGAAGAACAGCAGCTCGGGCGGGAGAGGGGTGGCTAGCGTGGCCATGCGTGGCAAATGGGGCGTTCTGTTTTGGGGGTTTGGTGAAGGGAGAAGGGCAGGGATTTGCTTGAGGTCAGCTGCAATTTTTGCAGCAAGAAGTCGGTGCAAGGGGTGTGGAATGATTGCCGGGGCATCAAATGCGGTTTTGGTTTTGGTCGCCTTTTCGCGCTAAAGAGAGGTGTTTGGTCATCCAATTTGGTGACTCCGTCGACTTACTGTCAGAGTGCATCGACTGTGTCGAAGACTGACTCGTACTGTAGCATCAATCAGTGACTCATTCTGTCTCTCGCTCTCTCCTGGTGCATCTCTAGGTTGGAAGCCCACTGGATTGGCTCGCTCGCTCTCGACCGGTTTTTCACCCGAGACCGGGAGCCCCGGTCCGGGCGAACCAGGACGTGTAACCGTGCTTTCGTGGTGAGTCGGTGAGTCGGGGCCCCTTTTGGCCTGCCAAAGAGCATGCTTGTGGGATATGACAGACATCTCACAAACATCCCCCCCAAATTGGAGGTCTTCTCCAGCTCTCCAACCCCTGGATCCTCCGTTTTCGAGTTCTCATCCAGTTTCCACCGAGATCGGTTCCAACTCGAACTCCTTGCACGGAGCTGTGCCCCGATCTTCGGGCTCAGCCCCGCACGCCAAGGTGAGGAATACCTCATTGCACTGCTCATGGCCACTCCGCAGGAGTTCCACTGGTGCACCAGCCGATGGGCTAGGCTGAATTTGGTGCTGCAAACGAAGTTCGTTTGCCATTTTTAACGGAACAAACAAAATTGTTCCTAAACTCATGGAGCCTTACGTTCCTTACTACATGTTCACAAGCCTGTTTCAGACCACCAGGTCGTCCAGCTGATGCTATCTGCTATCGTTGCTCCCAGCGAATGGGGCCCAAGAGACGGAACATTGTTCGGAACGACTGAGTCGTCACACCCGTGGTTTTACGGAACTCGTCTCATGCAACGTCCATCCGACCATTCCCATCCGACGTGTTGAGGTCTCTATTTGAGCCTCGTCCCCTGAGCCGTTGGTGTTGACCAATCCGAAAAAAAACACATCAAAATCGACCCTCGGACTTCTCCAGGAGATTGACGACGATCTCGTCGCCGGCCGCGCCGTTTGGTTTTTCTTTTCTTTCGCTCCGCATGGCTGATCGGTACGAAACACAGGACGTGCAGTGGCTGATTGACGACTTTCATGGGAAGAGCTTCAATGCCATCGAGCCTGGTGTTTGTAATTTGCACTTTGTTTGGGCGTGTCAAACAGGCCAGGCTGGAGCACGGGTTTGGGGAAATCCCCACGTGCACTGCCCGTGGCAGGTGGGTTTTGGTTTCAGTCAGGTGCGTCAATCGATTCCACGGACAGAACACGACATGGAAGATGTGTAAGGGTAACTTCACCAACACAATGTTCTATGCAGAGGCCAACTTTTTCACAGATCTTTCCAACCTGACCTTGCCCTGAAAGCTATGTCTATTCTAGTTAGTTGTGAGGTCGCCTCAGATGCACAGGAGATTTGAACCAGGCAAGATGTCCTGTGGTATTCTTGAGCGTCTCAATCCCCCAGCGATGTCAGTGCTCAAAGGAGACCACTTGTCCAGTTGGGGACCCAGCTGTCGATGTCTTTCTACGATAGTAGTTGACATCCATCCCATGGTCTAATCGTCTAATCATATCCAT